GAAGTCACCCAATATGTTGATATCATGTAGTTCCTATAAAGACTGTAGGATACTTGAACAGTTATCTTAAAGCAGTTTGAGGATGGATGGGGTGAATAAACTTGTGAATAAACAAGCTAGAAATGCTATGGTTCAAGAAACTGGCTGATCTAGGTTGATGGGCACTTCATGTCCTTGATCTATCTTCCCATGAAGAACCTGGGTAGATAGGTTCTGCTGCATTAGGCACTGTCTGTAGAAGCATATGGACAAAAGCTCTTCTTAGCTTCATCTGGCACACATGGTCAGATCCAATGCAGAAAAAAACTAATCTGGCTTTGATAGTGCACCCACTTGCTAATTACACAGTACACTACATTAAAGTTCTCTGCATGGCTGTTTTTGAAGATGATTTAGATCCTTCAGCTGATACAATATGCAGTCATTGATGAACTCATTGGAACCAGGCAGTTGGAACATAATGCATTAACTCTGACCACTTTTGGGTATGTATGCTTGATAGTTGGCACTTTCAGGTGTTATGGGATATAGAGTAATAGTAAACATAGCAAGAAAGTAACTTTTGATTGAACATCTGGAAAATCTTCATAATAGTCAAAGTGGTTAGGAATGTGACAAACTGCTTAGGGAGGTGGTGAGCTCTTCCCTGCTGGAAATATTAGTGCAAAAACAGCTATCTGTGGGGCTTTAAACTAGATACCATCACAGAGCAGGAGTTTGTTCATGATGGCCCCTTCCAACTCTATGATTCTCTGTGTGGAAATCAATGTTTTAGATGCTTTTTAGTTGATACAGTTTATTGGACATGCTGATGTTTTATTGATGTATTATTTCTGTGGCTCTGAAAATGTTCTTATACCTTTCACTCTTAACACTGATTGACCATATTAATGTCAGTGGTATATTTGAATGGTAATTGGTGGACACACACACAAACAGAGATGCAGAGATGCAAACAGAGTTATATACATATTTAGCCATTGTACCTGCTCCTCCTCCTCCTTCTCACTCAGTCCATTAATTATGGCCATTTACCAGTACTGTAACACCAACAAGATACATCAGGAAATAATGAGAAAGATGCTGCAGTAACCAACTTCAGTGCAATTCTTTCACATCTATGAACCACACCTTACCAATCTTCTCTGTTCAGCATTGGCTTTCTAGTTGTTGATTGCTTTGGCTTGGCTTGGATTAGATCCCAACCTTTCCACCAAGAAAATGGCATTCAAACTGGTTAACAATCATAGGAACAACAACTTGATTGCTGTTGATTAAAACAATCTTAAAACAGATGTGTAAAAATCATCATTCAAATGCAACAATGAGGAAACAAAACAACAGCCAGACAGCTGGCAAACAATAAAACCCCACAGGTAGAATCAAGTCCTTCTCAGGTGTTTCAGCACTGTACATCCTCATGAAAGGAGAAGAGCTAAGAGAGCTCTCCCAAAAAGGAAACAGAATCTCATGACATTACATAATTTGAAATACTACCACAAAATCTTACCACAAAATAAGGTAAGATTTATGTATACAACAGCACATTAAGCCACAATTATCAAGACACATTTTCTCAATCTTAACTAGTTTCTGCTGATCTCTTCTGGAATAGGCCCTGCCCATTTCTGTGTGCAATGATCACTGTCATCCTGGCAGCAGCAAGAAAAAGAAGGAAGGAGAGCCATTCTGTTGCTATGTTTGTATTCCATGTCCAGAAGGGAAGATTTCGGCCCAGGAAGGTAGGGGACATTGTCATCATTATCATCACTTTCTTCCTTTGGCAGGGAAGCCAAGGCAGCTTTCAAGGTTCTCCTCTTCCTCATTTTAGGCACAGAACAACCTCTTGAGCTGTCAGGCTGAGAATGCATGACTGGACCATAGTTCTCCAGTGAGCCTCATAGCAAAATGGGGACTAGAATCCAGATCTCCCAAGTACCAGTCTGATACTCTAATTGCTATGCCACACTAGAGCCATATGGAGGTTTAGCCTTCTCCAGAAATAAGCCTTCCTATGTAAGCTAAATGTACACAAAGAATGGTTGCCTATTAGAAGATCTAACCTGTTTCATCAGGCCTGACTTCCCCACCCCATTGTTCACAATTTGGCCATGGAATTCTGGAAAGGGAATTTTCCCTATGCATACTCGTACACAGACATTCACAACTAGCCTACCATGCTGTCATGAATTCTATGCATTCAGGACTCCCATTGGAAGCCTACACATGCAAAGCTGTTGTTATTCCATACAGCCAGTATGGCATAGGAGCAGGAGTTGGCAACAGGTGGCCTCAAAGCTGAAGACAACCTTTTGTGGTTTGACTCATGCTGTCACATGGCAACAGTAAAAAAAACAAAAAACAAAAACCCACACACAACAAACAAACACAAACCATTGCCACAGAAATTCAGCTATAATAACTTTAGCTTGTTCTCTAGTGAAATATGACCTTATTGGATCTCTATGGTAGTTTTCTGCCAAAGTTCTGAAAACTTCTGATCTTTTTACTACAGCCATGTTCCCACTGCTAGCAGAAATTGACCCTCAGGGTACCCATAGTTGTTATAAATACCTAGAGTGGAGAGTCAAACTATATCTGGGAAGTCCACATTCATTCATTTCCTAAACTGGATGACCTTCAGTCAGATTAAGTTTGATAAGAAATGTGTTAGTTTTGCATTTTAGCATGATTGTACCAAATTTGCATGTCCCAGATATATGCATGACATGGTGATATTTGTACTTTTCCAAATGTTGTGTCATGATTTGTGAATAAAAGATGCACACAAAAATATGCATAGTACAGGGAAAGGGAGCAAAATGCACACAGTAGTGGGAAATGCACACAAATTCACTTTTCATTAGGGGAAATCAGTTTGCAAAAAAGTGTACATTGAGAAAAAAGGATAAAGATATGCACATATTTGACAAACAGTATACAAAGATGCATATCATTAGATAAATGTGCATGCAAATACATTTCTTGTGAAAATAAAAAAAATTAGCAGAATCAAATTCTACTGATTGGCTCATGCTTAAGCTAGTCAGTTCTCTCAGACTAACCTGCTTCACAATGCTAATGTGAAGATAAATTATAATAAACTAATGATTACACTATATAATAAATCTAAAAGAAGTTGTCAATTCATTCCAATTAACAACCATTATATAATATATAACAAATACAAAAGATGCATGTGGACACAGCTATTTGACAAGAAACACATATTTGAATGATGTTACTGTAAGATATCAATGCCTTCATTTTCTTCCTAGATTTCACCAGCTATCTATTTCTAATGTAAAGGCTATCTCTTTTTTTCCCTTTCCAGATATGGATTACTGCACTGAATGTTCAGAAGATCATTATTCAAACTTAGAGCAAAATCAATGCATTCCCAAAGTTATAACCTACCTCTCCTATGATGAACCACTGGGGATAATGCTGGGTTTCTCTGCTGCTGTTCTTGCTTTCATCACAGTTTTGGTACTAGGAACCTTTGTGAAATATCAGGACACTCCCATAGTCAAAGCAAACAACAGGAGTCTCACCTACACTCTCCTCATCGCTCTCCTTCTCTGCTTCCTTTGCTCCTTGGTGTTCATTGGAAAACCACAGCCAGTGACCTGCCTTTTCCAGCAAACAGCTTTTGTCATTGTCTTTTCTGTGGCCCTTTCCAGTGTTTTGGCAAAAACTATCACAGTAGTTCTGGCATTTATGGCTACCAAGCCAGGGTCCAGGATGCAGAAATGGGTAGGCAAGGGGCTAGCAAATGCAATTGTCCTTTCCAGTTTCCTTATTCAAGCAACCATGTGCTCTTTTTGGCTATTTATTTTTCCCCCATTCCCAGATAAGAACATGAACTCTTTGAAGGGAGAAATCATAATTGAATGTAATGAGGGCTCAGCTACAATGCTTTACTGTACTTTGGGCTATTTGGCCTTTCTGGCCATTGTCAGCTTCACAGTGGCTTTCTTTGCCAGGAAGCTTCCAGATACATTCAATGAAGCCAAGTTCATCACTTTCAGCATGTTGGTGTTTTGTAGTGTTTGGCTGTCATTTATTCCAACCTACCTAAGCACCAAGGGAAAATACATGGTGACCGTGGAGGTCTTCTCCGTTTTAACCTCTAGTGCTGGCCTGCTAGGTTTCATCTTTTCTCCTAAATGCTATATCATTTTAATGAAGCCCAACCTAAACAAGAGGGAGCAGCTAATATGGAGATAAATCTAAACAATCTCAGGATTGAAGTAGCTAAGAAAAGTCAATCTTTTTTCTCTTGATTTTATAAGTAATTAGCCTATGTTGTCTATGAAGGGGATGTTTTGGTCCAACCTTAGAAATGAACTTGAGCTCCTATATATACCACAATACAATCCTTACCCCAATACAATCCTTATGCATTCATAAGTAAATTCTGTGAATACAAGAAGACTTTCTGCCAGGGATATACATTTGCACTATTAGTTCCATAGACGTGTTGTCTAAATAAAATCCACTAGCGTGTTTCTTCTCTTCGCAGTTGTAAATGAAACACAGCTGAAATGTTTGGAAATCCTACAAATGAAGATCAGATGTTGATGATTCCTTTAATACTGAATGGTGCATTTTCTTGCAATGTTCTCCATCAACAAAGAGATGGGATTTAAAGCAAACCCGAAGCAACACATTCACATGATTTTGCCCATTGGCAGAAAAATCAATGCAAAGAAGCAGGTTGCACTAACATAAAGAGACAGAGATATCATGGCTCCCTATTGTGCATAATACAATAATAGCACTGAAATGGGATTCAACAAGCAAATGAGGACTTCCTTTTCTCTATATCCAAGTGGTGAATGCTGTGTGTGAAGAAAGAAACCTGCAAGTTCATATTTAAGAGTATTGTAATTTTGAAATAGACCTTTCCAAGATATCTTGGAAAGTAAGAGAATCTTGTAAGTTGCCGTCGGTTCCTTACAAAATAAAGAAGGGTATGATATAAATGCAATGTCCTGATCATCATCATCATTATCATCAAGATCTAATTTAACCTTGTGTTCAACACAAGGTACTATTAGAGCATCTCTTTAGCAAATCACACATAGCTCTGTCCTGTCTGCTTTGCAGAATATTTACCTTTGTTAGCATTTCTAACAAAAGACAACGTAGCCGCTGCTTCAATACCTATATTGAAAAATGAGCACCAACTCTGCAGGCAGCCTGTTCCACATTTAGTCAGTTCTTATAGTTAGAATCTTCTAATACTTAACTTAAATTTTCTTCCTTATGGCATCTCCCCACCCAACAGCCCCCACTGGTTCTCATCCAGTTTTAGTCAGTGATCGAGTTTTATTAAAGCTTTAGCATGTCAGCTCTTCCAATATTTTCAGTCAGTTGTCATGTGATCCTGAAAAAGGAAAGGCGTACACAAGTGTGTACTTTGGTGGTGACCCTGGCAGAAATAGGCAAAGTGACTGGGGGAAAGTGGTGTGGAAAATGGAAGAGAAAATAGTATGATTGGTTTGGGGGTGATTCTTCTACTAATTTGGGAAAATAACTGTTGATAGTTTTTTACAGATAACATTTGGAAAATTAATTGGTTTGCCTTCTGTTCAATGCTGTTCAAAGGCAATGCTTTGTGTTTGAGGGATCAAGTCCCATCTTTGTCATGTACTCAGTCTCCTGAGTAAATCAGTTGCCTCTTACCCCACCAGCTGGCTTCCTTTGAAATGGGTGCTTTGTGATTGGCCATGTATATTTTGATAGCCACTTCCTGAATGAAATGTTGCAAAGCTACCTATGACTGTGTGCACAGAGGCTCCAAATGTGCCCAGAGGGTCCAACGGTTTAAGAATTTCTGGCCTAGGCTGTGAAAATACATGCCCAGTTAAGATTAATTTGCTCCATACCCCTCTTCAGTGGCTTTCCACATATTTGTTTGATGACAGACTTTTGGCTTTCTGAATTCAGTAGACATGGAACATTGTCTGACCGTTCACAGGGGGACATGAAAAACTGGTGATTCCTTGATTCACAGTAACTTATTTCATCTCTCTATGAACCACATCTTCCCATCAGAACACAGTTCCTATCTATGAAGGGACCCCAATAATGAATATAATGAATGATAGCATCCTAAAGGTAAATACTAAGAGCCACTTATCTAAACAGGAAAAGAGCTAGCCATCATGAACTGAATTTTCAAGCCAGTATACTTTTCAAAGTGATACTCATTCCTGCGCAAGGGCAGAGGAGTTTTCCCTAGTCCATTATGTAACTCCCTCTATTTCCACTGTTCAAGCAGTGCTTCATTGTTTATATTGGTAAAATGGCATCATCTGCACAAAAGGGCATTGTACCCATTCCCAAAATGTGGAAGAAACAGACAAAAAGTATTTAAGGGAAACTATATTTGGGGATGGGGGCACATCTCACAACCGTCCAATGAAGACTTTTCATGTTCAGTATCCATGGAATGCTGACAGACAGTTGTAGGGAATTTTAAAGAACCAGGTGGGAGGAAGAAGAATGAAATGAAGTATGAAAATGTTGAAAAACAGCAACACCTTGCTGCATGTTCACAATAGTTCTGAAGTTCTGAGAGGTCCTACTTGTTTGGACCTGCTGGCCTTGATCCTGCAAGCATAATGGCTTGCTTCAAGACTGAGTTATTTAGATTTAGTTACATTTTTCACATGAAGTGAGTTATTCATGACTAACATTTGAATGGGTCTACTCTAATATGATTACATTTTGGAATAATTCAGGATCTGGGGGATCTTCCAAAACTAGCTGTGATGGTACCCTCTGAATCACATAGTTCCTTTCAGATATTATGCTGACCATTCTTAGGATGTCAGGGGCAAGAGGGCCAAATGGGTGAAATCCCACTCCTTCTACTTAACCTACAGAGATTTAATCTTCTATAGCAGGGGTCTCAAACTCAACTTACCTGGAGGCCACTGGAAGTAGAGTCTGGGTGAGGCTGGGCTGCATCAAGTATTCCACCACCGTGGTGGTGGTGGGCTGCTCATCCCACGTTGCTCCCGGAGGCCGTACTGGGCACCGCCGGCACTTTGAAGGCTGCAGAACCCCTCCCCATGCCCCACCCGTCCCGGCAATTGGCCCGCAGGCTGCAAGTTTGAGACCCCTGTTCTACAGCGACCTTTCCCACCTCCCAAGAATCAAAAGTTCTCCAAATTGTACTGATTTTGTACTGCAGCCCTCCCCAGCATAGGTTATGCTGGCCAGAAATGATGATTCTTGTAGTCCAACTCCTTTAGAGGACACCAGCAGAAAGAGCCATTGTACAGGCTGCTTTGAACTTTTTCTAATCAGAGGAAAAGTGGGTATATGTATGTAACAGAAACCTCATAAGCATACCAATAGCGTGGCTCCTTTATTCCCCAGTGATTATTCTCCCATCAAATTTGCCTTGCTATCATGCCATGATGTGAGAGCATTTCATCTATGAATGTACTGTGATTCAGAGCAGAAATTAGACTGTTCAGTCAGGACACCCCACTTCTAATTTCATCAGTGAGCATATCAGAGCCAAAGAAGACATCACTTCAAATGTGTATCCAACAGATATGTCTTTACAACAGAAACACTCGACTCCTCCAGAGTAGGTGCAAGCTCCCTGATCCAGAATAATCCAGATGCTTTTAATATCTGGATTAGGCTCTCTGTACCTGCAGGAGAGTAAAATTGAAAAGTCCTGTTGGGTTCTACAAAAACATCCTGTCTCTAACTGTTTTTGATCTAATTTGTATCACTTCAAATGACAGTGTGTGGGCAGTTCACATTCTCCATTGTAATTATCACCATTTCTCTGAGTAATTTTCCTGCTAGCCAAGCCCCAGTGGACAAATAACTATGTGAGAAAGTGCATATAAGCATCCTTCCTTTGTTTTCAGTGCTGACCAAGGGGCACATGGCAGGTGGGGCTCTATCATTCTGGTCTCAGGTCATTTTAAATAAGAAGCCTCCAAGATGAGTGGAACAACAAAGGTATCTGAAGATGCATTGATGGAATATTGAGAAACACTGAAAAAGGCTGGGAGATAGTGATGCAAGCATTACCTGATAAGTCAGGCTACAAATCAGAACACCATCACATTCTGCTGTTATTCACAGTGGGTTCTCAAACCAGGCCGGTGTCAGAAAGTTAAAAGCTGTTGGAGTGTGTAAAAGAGGGCATGACGACCTGGAAGGAAAGACTTATCCTCAAAGTGGTAATGTTCTTGGTATTCCTGCTTGGGTTTCTGCCTCACATTGTGTGCAGGTCACACTCCATTCTTCACACCATGAAATCTCATGCTATCCAGTGCAATCTCACTGATATGTTCCCTATTTCACACGAGTTCTGTAAGCCAGGAGAGCTTGTAATTGGAGAGGTGACTTCTCAAGTCTTTTACCTGCGCTCACCAACTAGGTTTAATGAAGAGCCCTCTCTAATGCTGTTCAAGAACGCTATGTAAGAAGCTATTCTACCTGTTTCTCTAGCACCCTTTTGCTTAAACTCCCCTTCTCTGAACTGCTGTCCTCCAACAGTGTTGGACTACAACCCCAATCACCCCACCCATGCTGGGGCAGATACCCAAGCTCGAATTATTGTGAATAGACTCAAGTTGGACGCAGCCCATGCCAAGCAGCCCCCCTCGCCTTTTTTTTAGTTCTACTTACACCACAGGTTATCTGCCACCTACAACTCTGTACTAGGATAAACACACACATTTTGTGACAGCTAGCACACATGAGCAGGGAGAAGAGGACCCCTGCAAGCCCTCATGTTGTGCCAGCAGAATAATTTTCTTTTGGGAATGGTCATATTGAACTACCACCCCAGCAGAAATATTGCTATGCACATCATTTGCAGCCATTAAGTTTACCATTTCCATATGAAGAAGAGCAAAACTGGATCAGACAGAAAGTGCATCTAGTACAGCATTCTGTTCACACAGTGGCCAACCAGCTGCTTGTTGGAAGCCCCCAAGCAGAACCTGAGGGCCATGGCATCTTCCTACATATGTGTGCACTTCTCCCAGCTGCTACCACATTCCCTTCCACTAGGTGAGTTTTTTTTTTTTCTTTAACAGAGGGGAAAGGAATAACAGCTGGCAGAGTGCTGATAGCAATCAAACCTTCAGAGCATTCCTTTGAATTGCATAGAGGGGGGAAAACACCTCAAGAATTTTCTTCATATTTCTCGGAAGGTTCACTTGTTTCTGGGGACCAGTAGCAGGTTGTGTACCCTCCTACAATAGACAATTAATAGAATACTTGAGGAACATCAACATGAAATATGGTTTCCAGACCACTTTTAGTTTGGGTGATGGAATTGATTTGCTCAGTTTTTTGCATTAGCTCTTTATCACTTAAAAAATAATACCCAACTGTCATTTTAATGTCACATATATGTAACTTTAGTGTGTTTCAGTTGTTTTATACATATTACCTTCTATTATCATAATCTTCCAACAGTTCATTAAAAAAACTTAATGCTATTTATAGTCAGCTAGCTCTATACCAAGCTGACCAAATATAGTAGATTTAAAATACTTTATTATGCTTCCTTTTAATTATGTCTTCTGCTGTCCCATGCAAAGTGACCTTAGAAATAAAGGTTGTGTGTGCGAGAGAGAGCGAGAGTGAGATTGCTAGAATCTGTTATTCCAGAAGAATTTCAACAAATCAAAAACCTCTGTCTAGGATCCTGCTTATATATTGGGCACAATATCTTTTAAAATGTGGAAATTCAACAACAGTTGCCTGCACATAGAAACCACGGATTTCCAGAAACAACAGAGTATCTACTCCTTGGTTTTCATAAAGGGTTTTCTCAAAGGAGTAATTTCAACATATATATTCATTCCACTCATGCCTTGATTTAAGCAAATAATGCCATGATCAAAAATTTGTAAAATCAGTGGCCTGAAATTCAGCAGCAACCAAAATTCATGAAGAAACTCATAAAGCCCAAATAAATCCTCACATTAACCCAAACCTTGTTCTCAATTAAAGAACAAAAAAAAAGAATCCAGCAGATACTGAAGCAGGTTTATTTCCTCTTCATTCACAACAGAGGATATAGCCAATGGCAAAGGATGATGGGAGTTGTTAGTCAAGACATTTGGAGAGTTACAAGTTACCTGCCTCTTCTATAAAGTCCTGTATCTCTTTATTTCCCGATATTTCCTTCAAGTTTCTATCATTCATAAACAGGAGAATATTGTTCAAAAATGGTTCAACTTTTACAACAAACTTTTAAATAAGGTTCTGAAGCTCCCTGAGTGCACAATTCTGACAATGTCCATTTAAGACAGATGCCCAGGAGCATCAGACTGCTACAAAGATTTGGGAAGTGTAGAGCATTATTCTCATACTTATTTCAGAAGAACAGCCAATGCTGTCCAGGAAGAATGATGTCAGTGATAATAAGTCATGTGCACAATGAGTCTTTATATTGCTATTATATCTATTTTTAATTACACAATATGCATTTTTCATTGCAGTATGATACCAAAAAATTACAAGCATGTCCTGGCTTTGGTATTTGCTATAAAGGAGATCAATGAAAATTCTGCAATTCTTCCAAATGCTACTTTGGGTTTCCACATCTATGACAACTATTGCAATCCAAAGATGACTTACATAGGCACCTTGGGTCTCCTTTCCACAAGTGATAGATTTTTCCCCAACTACAGGTGTGGTCATAAGCCTTTGGTTGCAGTCATTGGGGGATTTTCCTCTGGGACCTCCCTGGACATGGCCACCATTTTAGATCTGTACAAGATCCCGCAGGTAAAAATGAAGTATGGAAGCACCACTACTGAGAATGAAACATTCTATTCTCATTTCAGTCATGGTTTGTGAGAAAGCACATTAATATAACAAACTGAAACTAACCCTAAACATAACCCAAAGTAAGAATCTTAAGGAAAATTCAAAACTGTGGATGTAGGGTTGGAGCAAAGCTAATTGTCCTTTAGTCCCACAGAATTTAATAGGAAAGGCTAATGACTGAAGTTAAGTCCCGTTAATTCAAAGAAAATTAAGTGTAACAAATGACCTGTGTCTATCTTATCTGAATATGTAAAGAAACGTGTGTGAGTCACATGGCCATCCCGTATGTTGGCCCCACCCCACATTCTGACATGTGCCATTCTTTCCTATTGTGTCCATGAAAGGACCCTTCTCCTTGCATTCAGTTAGCATTTTATCAATGTTCCTGGTCTTGCAAAGGGTTCTGCTCATGTCCCAGCTCAATATGGGGAGCTCAGGGCTGTTGTGAGGTGGACACAACAAATTTAGCCCCACTTCCTTTTGCACACATTCCTATACTCTCCTTATGCAACATTATGCATCTGTTTGCTCAGATGGAATTTGCAATGTGTTGAATATATGAATGGTTAAATCCCAGGACAATGTGCCTCAGATTGCAGCATTTATCTGGATCTAACCCATAGTCTCTAACAGATAATCTTTCACTGAGAAATATCTTTTAGTACTTGCCTGTTAGAACATCAAAGATAGTCTTTCTGGACCCTGCAAGTGTAACCCACATTTCATTTAAACAGCTTTCTGGGGAAACTCCCTGCCAGTTAGCAGCTGATTTAAGTAACAAATGTATTGCACACACAACTTGCCCACCGCTCAAACAAGCACCTCAACATCCTCTTTTAGCTTGCCTATGGCATCCTTGACTCAAGCCTGAATGAAAAAATAGTATTTGATTCCTTGTACCGCATGGCCCCAAGAGAAGAGGTGCAGTGTACTGGGATTGTTCAGTTACTTCTACATTTCAGATGGACATGGGTTGGACTGCTTGTTATAAATAATGACAGTGGGGAAAGGTTTCTGCAAGCATTGGAACCAATCTTTTTGGCAAAAGGCATCTGTTTTGCTTTTATAAAAAAGACAACAGCATGGACTTCTGCAGATATGTTAGAAATGTTTTCACATGAGATGAAAATGTTTCCAGCTCTCATGGAAAGCAAGGTGAATGTCTTTGTTGTGCATGGTGTTTCTCCATCCATGCTAAGTGTGAACTGGAATATTCATATGGCCACCCTGGAGTCACATGTGGCCAAGGTATGGATTGTGACACCACAGTGGGATTTCAGAGCAAGTACGTATAACAGAGACCCTAACATGCAGCACTTTCAGGGTGCCATATCTTTGTCAATTCATTCCAATGAGCCACCAAAGTTCAGGAAATTTCTTGAAAGCATAAATCCATTCTGGGCAAAAGAAGATGGATTTATCAAGGATATCTGGGAGCAAATCTTCAATTGTTCATTGAAAAAATCCACTGGGCAAGAGAGTGAGGAGATCGAGGAAGTCTGCACTGGGGATGGGAGACTGGAGAACCTTCCCGGAACTTACTTTGAAATGAGCATGACTGGTCACAGCTACAATGTTTACAATGCTGCCCATGCTGTTGCACATGCTTTACAAAATCTGTATGAATCCAGATCCAAGCATAAATCATGGGGAGAAAGCAGGAACAAGAACCTTTGGAAACTGCAACCATGGCAGGTAATATCATTCCAAAGTCACTGCTCTGTTTGCACAAAAAGAGAACCAAATGTTGCAAAATCACATTTCCCCCATATGATCTCATTGGCCAAAACATTACCTGTTTCTTCTTTGCTTCTGTAGAAATCATTTGTTCACATTATGCTACTAATTGCAGGTTGTAGTTTCTGCCCCTCTTTTCAAAAGAAAAACCCTGATTCTTTTATTGATTGCTTGGTTTATAATTTTATATACTGCTTTTCAAAACAATTCTACAAAATGACTTACAAAATAATAGAACATGACCAGGGAGAAGAGACCAGAGCCCATATCTAAACCCACCATTATTTGAAATGGTTTGGCCATGAATTTCACATGGGACAGATCCCATTTTCTCCATACCTCTTTCCTCTGCAGGTCCATAACTAGAGGGGCACATGGGAACTCTGAATGGCCTTTGTACCTCCTGTTGCTGATTAGGATTTGACCAGATCTAAAACAACTTAACCCCATCTAGGTAGTCACTTGTCAATCTCATTACAAGCATCCCAAAGCTTTCTCTTTGGTCATTTGTAGTATTATATTATAATTATTATTGCTATTGTTCCCTCTTTGAACATAGATCCATCCCATTCTAAAGCATATCACCTTCAATAACAGTGCTGGAGAACTAGTACATTTTGATGAAAATGGAGAATTAATAACAGACTTGGATGTTATAAATTGGGTAACTTTCCCAAATCAATCTTTTGCTAGAGTCAAACTTGGAAGACTGGATCCTCGGGCACCTCAAGGAAAAGAATTAATGATTCAGGATGAAAACTTTGTATGGCATAGAAAGTTTAACCAGGTGAGAACCACGTTCTTGAAGCCACACAATAATTGAAAAAAAATGATGAAGTCTTTCTTCCCTGTAACATGTCTTGCTTGAACAAACAATAGCATCAGATCATTTAATTTTCAGCCTTATGGTTTTAAAGCTTTGTGGATGAGACTGCTTTGAAGGTTTGGATGAATGATATACACCAGGAAATTTTTTATGAGAGGCATAATCCTGGTGCTTTGCTGAGGCCTCCTCTATCTTCATTTTGAAAGGATGAGCACCCTTTCACATAAGATTCCCTTAACCCCTCAGTGTATTCCTTTCTCTATGTTCCTAAATATTCCATTACACAAGTTAAGGTGACCATATTGTATAGCCCGAAATTAGAGTTTACACAGGCTTCTATAGTGAATTAAGGTGTTGTTACTCAGGAAAATGCTTCATTATCCTTGTTTTAAAGAAGCCACTAGAAGGCTTGAAAACACAGGGAAAACCTTAGGAGAAGAATGATATTGTGTGAAGGATCCCAAACCTTTCTCAATAAATGCCTTGTGTAGAAAAGCCCATGGGGAATGTCTCTCTAATGATGATGCTGGCTTGACCATTGTATACTTCTAAAACATCTATCTGAGATGGGACTTCTTTTATGGTTGGTCTGATTATCCTTGGGAGCACAGGTTCAGAAGACAGTGTTGAGGACCTCACCCCATACTATTTAATGTATACATGAAACTGCTGTGAAAGATGATCAGTGTTATTAATATGCTGATGATCCCTAGTTCTGGCTCAGCTGTTGACTGGGGTCCATTACAGTTGTGATGTATTTCTATGGCATAATTGCAAAACTGCTAACAACACATGGCCACTGATTTGAAATATTTCATTATTCCATATGAGCCTGCCTGGAGTTTAGATCTCTGTGGGAGGCCCACATCTCAGTCTTACTACCATTGGAAGCACATTTGGTGCAAGAGAATGCCTTTTTGGCAGCTGCTCCAATGTTCTGCTCCACAGAAGTTGCCACTTCTAGCCTTCCATCTCTACTCCCTTCAGCTCCATAGCAATGGATGAATCACTGTTTGCTTTATTCCCATAGGCTGTGATGTGTCCATTCCCCTGTTTATATTTGGAAAGAAAGAGGCAACATAAAAATGCATGGAGGGAGAAGGGGGAACCATATCAAAATTGTTTTCTTTCATTTCATTAAAAGAAAAGCAAAATCAAAAACTCTGTGTGGGCTGGAGTAGCTGGGAAGTGCTCCAGACATGTGGATACACTTCGGAGGGAAGGGAAAACCTGCCTCAGGACCACAGAAGACCAATCAGGAGGAGGCTGCTGATGTCTGTAGATAAGAACTGAGAAAGGATGGATATTTTGCTCATGGAGGCTGATGGGATGTTGTTAGAGTCTGGGAAGACTGAGTGGGGAGTGAAGAAACCACTATGCCTATGCAACTATGTGATTACCTGACCAGTGTGTTCAGGAAAAAAAATCTGTGTTCTCATTCAGCCTGTAAGAGCCATCATCCACAAAAGACCATCCACTTGGCCAGTACCTAATACCAATGTTTCACTGGTGTGATTGATGACCTTCAAGTTCTCTATCACCTTTTCTCTACTGACCACTGTCCTGAAGCTTATGCAAAATATCCTTTTCATTTGCTTTCTCTACTCTTCTGTTAGGCATAAAATCAAAGTAAAATCTGAAAAATCTGGAAAATCCAAGTCCTGGCTCCTTTTTTCACAGGTGGCAAACTAAAATGTCACAAGGGAGGGATTCTACCAGACAGTTCCCATTTATTCCTACAATGGTGGTGTGGAAAAGACATGCAAGGGTGCATTTTCAAGATTCCTCTCTCCAACCCACAAATTCTGTATATTTTTGTATGTTGTTATTTATTTGCTGGAAGCCGCCCCGAGGCTTATGCAAATGGGGTGGCATATAAGCATTCCAAATAAATAAATAAATAAATAAATAAATAAATAAATAAATAGTGGTCTTAATTCTCTGCAAGGCTTTTAGGTTTCCTCCCTAAATCCCTGTGAAAGGATATAATCGTAAACAGATACTTTCATCAGAAAACAAATGGTGTGCCACTGAAAAATATTATATTTAATCTCTCTCTCATTCTCTCATTCTCTCTCTCTCTCTCTCTCTCTCTCTCTCTCTCTCTCTCTCTCTATATATATATATATATATATATATATATATATGCGCATTATCAAATATCTATTTGATCTCTACTTATTAAACAGCAAACTAAACCACAAATATCAGACATTTTTACCTCAATTCTAACCTTTCCCCATTTATATTTCTGATTAGGCACCGCCCATTTCTGTGTGTAATGACAACTGTCACCCTGGTTTCAGTAGGAAAAAGAAGGAAGGAGAGCCATTTTGCTGCTATGATTGTGCTGCATGTCCAGAAGGACAGATTTCTGATCAGAAAGGTAGGAGATACAAAGCATTTCCTCAAAACTTGAATAGCAATGTTTGCTATGGACCATGGTCAAGAAGGAATGGAAAGACCTCTTGTGCTGGGATAGCGAGCTGTGGCTAGAGGTGCAACAGTGAGGTGTGATGGATTGGCCAAAGGGACATGCACTTGTTCTGTCCATGCATCCATAATTGCAAAATTCTGTGCAAAGTATCTTTGCCGATAGCCTTATATTCCAGGATCAGAGAGGCTTTCTCATTCCCAGTAACTGGCCATACCTACCACCATCAGACACATTTGCACAGATTTGTTTTTTGGACTGGGGCATGGGGGAGGGGGATATTCCTGAAGTCATTAAAAAGAAAATTAGGTTGTATGGACTGCATTTTAACTTCTTCTAACGCAAGCAATTGTTACCTGGCACTAGAAACAGTGGCTTCTATCCCACACATTGAAAATAGGATTGTCAATGACCCTAAAAACAAAGGGATAATGATGACATACTGTTTTTTTCAGTTACATTTTACTTTCCCCAAAAGGATGTTCGCCTTGTGGTACAAAGGGCCGAAGCAAAGGCATTTTCACATTTATTTATTTATTTATTTACTGCTTTTATATACTCAAAGTCTCTGGGCGGCTTACAAAACACCAAATGGTAGAATCTGGCGTTACCCAATGAAGTTGAGTGGTGAGAGACTCAGTGCAGATAAGGTAACTATTTCTCTACACCATAGAAATGGAAATCACTACCACAAGATGATGCTTATCAATAGGGATGGGTTTCAGTGAGGATTCGGCAAATGTGCAGAGGGTTAGGTCACTACTGGCTATTACTACATGGCAGCTATATATCACACCCAGTACCAGATACATGTTTCTCTATTATATCTGTATCTCACTTTTTTGTGAGCAACTCAAGACAGCTTATATAATTCTTCTCACAACAAACTTACATAGTAGAATAGACTGAGAATCAGTGATTTGCCCAAAGTGACCCAGTGAGATTCATGAATCAGTTGGAACTAGAACCTGGATCTCTGAAGGCTCAGTCTAAGTGCTATGCCACAGTAGGTCTCCAAACACCATGCATTGGGGAAAAGAAAAGGGACATTGCTATTACATTTATGTCCTGACTTTCCTATGACTACTATGGAAAAAGAACAATGGGCTAGATGAGCATGTTATCCATCATAACTCTTTTTTTGTTCTTATGGAAGCAGCATTTCACAAAGATGACAGGCTATTATACCTATGTCATTCCATGCATGCATTTATATGAAATGACAATGTTATGGATATTTTTGAGAACAGCATTCTTATATGCATATTAGTCCAGAAAGTTTAGATCAAGTGTGTTCACTCAGGAATATTAACCCAATGGATCCTTCAATCATTCCTACTCAACATGATACCTTTGTTGTTTGCTAAAGATCAGCACACACTTCTTTATAATAAAGGACAATGTAAATGGGTAGCTTTCAGGAGAGAACACAGTGATGTATCCTCAGATAAGGATAGACTAACTGGAACATGTTGCACTGATTTTTGATCATCGCACTCATTCAGAAATCTTTCAGAACAGGAGAAGGTAAGTTGAGATGTGATGTCTCTTCTACTGCTTTAGGAATTTGTTCTAATGTTGGTTTGCAGGGTACATGTGTGTGACTTACTTCAAAGAATGTGGAGTTTTATAAGTTGTGTTCTGAGACCCAGTAATGTTGGGTGCAATTTTCAAAGGAGATCAGCAGTTGGATGAATGACTAAGAATAGTTATTATTGATTCTATATTATTGGTATCAACTATGCTGTGCCCTTACCAGGTCTGGATAGAAGTCAATAACATTTCTGTAAGAGAACTTCCTTTGAATGAATGAATTACTGGAATACTATTCCTGATGCTTCCAGAAAAAGATCCAGAACAGAAGTCTGCCTACTCCTCTAAGCTATACAACACACACATATCCTACAGAGAGAGGGAAATGATCCCTTCCTGTTACCTTTCTTGCATTGACCAGATAGCAAAATATTCTGTGGTCTGTGTTTCTAGGAATGCCTAGTGAGATTAAAGATAGTGGCTTGATTAAACTTAGCAAGCAAGCTCTTGTCCAAGGGAAGATTTCAGATGAGGATTTTCTGGCTTTCAACTTCATGCACTTTGACCATGCCTTACTATTACCTCTATTTCCCTAGATATGGATATCTGTGTCAAATGTCCACAAGATCAGTATGCAAATTTGGATCAGGATCAATGCATTCCCAAGGTTATAACCTATCTCTCCTATGAAGAACCTTTGGGGATCATGTTGACTTTGTTGGCTCTTGCTTTGGCTCTAATGACAACTGTGGTCCTTGGAACATTTCTGAAGCATCAGAACACTCCCATAGTCAAGGCCAACAACAGAAATATCACCTACATCCTCCTCATTTCCCTCCTTCTTTGCTTCATCTCTTCCTTGCTGTTCATTGGAAAGCCAAGCAAGCTGACCTGCCTCCTCCGGCAAACAATGCTTAGCATAATCTTCTCTATTGCCCTTTCTTCTATTTTGGCAAAAACCATCACTGTGGTTCTGGCATTCAAGGCTATCAAACCAGGGTCCAGAATGAGAAAGTGGGTGGGGGAAAGAATGGCAAATTGCATTGTTCTTTCTTGTTCCTTTTTTCAAGCAGGGCTTTGTGCAGTTTGGCTCTGTACTTCCCCACCATACCCAGATAATGATACGTACTCACTGAATGGGCAAATCGTTATAGAATGTAATGAACAATCCATTTTCATGTTCTCTTGTTTACTAAGCTATTTAGGCATTTTGGCCATTATCACTTTTGCTGTTGCTTTTGTTGCGAGAAGTTTACCTGATGCTTTTAATGAATCCAAGTGCATCACTTTCAGTCTGTTGATTTTTTGTTGCATTTGGTTATCATTTATTCCAGCTTACCTGAGTACCAAGGGAAAATACGTGGTGGCTGTTGAGATCTTCTCAATCTTATCCTCTAGTATTGGGATACTGGGTGGCATCTTTTTCCCTAAATGCTACATCATTGTGCTGAAGCCTGGACTTAACCACAAAGATGCAATAATGAAAAAGAAAATAGAACCTATTAAGCACCAGAGAAATCCTTCTTTCTCTAAGTGTATGACAGACTAAATTTAGGAAAGAATTCAGGTGCCGTCTACCTTAATCACTAGTCTATTAACATGAGAAAACATTGCCCAACATCCAGCATGTGAAGGCACTAGGATATCATCATCATCTGAGCCTTCACTAGTTTGTATATTATTGGATAGCCTTCTGTGCTTTTATGTTCACTTTGCCTTAAATAATTATTATATTACATACACATATATCCAACAAATGTTTTTTGGCAGGCTCTTCTCTTTGACACTTTCCAGGATTTGGCAAAAACC